TGTTTTAAATGCAGGAAGACTGCAGCACAAAGTTAGGAGCGCAATACACGTGTAAGACATGCTATTCGAAAATTATATGTAATTTTATCATTCCGAGTTAAAGAAAGAACAAAATCAAGATGTGTGTTTTTAAAAAAACAAGTAACGGCATGACGTAGCAGTAGTAATGAAAACTAAATCCTTTCAAACTTGTTGGTAATGAATGTACGATCTTGTGTTTTATACAGCATAACGCGAAATACGCCTGTATTAGTAGCCATGGCCTTGAATTCGTCTGTTTACAATAATCTATTCTTACAAACGGGATTCCGATAGAGCTACCTGTATAGAAATACCTGAGGACGTGTCATAACAGTGCACGGTTGGAAGCGCGCACTAACTATAGCGGATCATAGCTTTGGGGAAATAGGCATAGCAACCCGCCATAGCTCTTTACACTGTAGCTGAAAATACGTCCTTCGTGAAATATATATGAGCTAAACGTTAATATTACAATAAATATGTACAGCTCCCACTCATAGAACTTCATGGTAGAATATCTAAATATTTCAATATTTTTCTTACAATCACCCCCCTCCCCCCCACACGATTCATACACCAGTTTTTAATTTTTAAATCCTAATTCTTGAATCTTGTTTGTGTTTTCAATTACAGCAGTTCAAATAAATAGTACATTCGGAAGTGGCATCAATTAGATTGTATCAAGAGTATATCAAAATTGTCAGTTTTAATTGAACATTGCATTACGAAGACTAGACAAGTTGGGTTTGATGGTTCGGTCCTCTGTTGGAACACACCTCTCTAGATATCTTTCCTGGTTACAAATGGTGTCCATGGCCCTCGCTATGCTGAGAGAAAATTAGAACCCGGGTTAATGGAGTAGTTGAGGGCGAATACATTTAAAAACAGGGGGGGGGGGGGGGGGGGGGAGTATGATTTTCATTATATACAGGATTACTGTTGCCTTTAAGCTTTGCGTTAGAGGGATTTTCCCTTCAGCTAAATCGGTAGAGCGGCGATTCGTACTCCAGTTGAAGCAAACTATAGACTGTATATTTCCTGTTAAAAAAATTTCAATTCTAACTTACAAATTCAGGCGAATAATGCGTACCGGATTCCCAGCGGGCAGAGTAAACACGGTTAGGTGCATTGATATAATTGGGTTGATATTCCTGAAATAATAAAAAAAAAAAATTCCATGCATGGAAGGGAGGTAACTCGTGTAACCAACATGGTCGTTATGATTTCAGGCTCCTCGTCAAAATAAAACAGTTAAAGAACAAACTTTTGCGTTAATCGTTTTATAGAAACTACAATAGATCGTTATGTACTATGTTTACACTGATACATGTATCTAATCTATAGTATGTAACGGAAGATATTGTGTATTTACGTGGCCGTTCCAAAAGATGCGTTTATGTCTGCAGATAAACATTCACATTGATTCGAAAATCTGTTAAGAGTATTAGAGGTTTGGATAAAATTATGACAATGTCAATACTTTAGAGAATATGGGTAAAAATATGGGCAAACCGAATCGTTCTGAAACGAAGGAAACGATGTTGACAGTATAACCCTGCTACCACCCCGTACCTGTCTTTCTCTCATAATACCGGTCCAAACCTCTCAATATTTCTCCTTTAAACTTTATTCATTTTACAACTTGAACAGTAAGCCATTGGCTAACTAGTACATCCCGTTCCTCACTTTGTTTTGAAGTTAAAAAAAAATCATTTGCAATGTACACCTGTATAAGTCTATGGTGGTGGGTATCAAGTCCATAGATAAAGGTGACACAAAACATTAAAGAGAAGGACCATAATTCCATAAAAAGTATAAAAATGAAAAAAAAAGTCATTTCCAGATGCACAATGATATGGGGTACTTTTCATAGGCATCAAGTTCCGTTGAAATGGGCCTACAAGTCGAGGAGGAGTCGTCTGGACAATATATTTTCCGATTTTTAGAAAGGGTCATAACTCATTAAAACCTCAGGGTTTGGTAACCGTATTTGTGAAGTCTAATTGAATAAGGTACAAGTGTAGAAATTGTTGAAACATTGATGATTATCAACAACCCGCATTGTTAGTTTTTAGTGAACTAATATTAAGTACACGGTACTAACTACGTCACACGGACAGGTCCCTGTCATTGGTACATGTATCTGCTAGATGAGTGACATAGTTTTGTCACATTGAATCATCAATATATACATTTAACATCGGTAAAATGGTTCAGACGGTAACAACGAAGACAACTATTTTTTCAAACCACGAACTCAACCCAGAAATACATTGTATTAGAGGGAAGACAAAATACAATTAGGAAGGGGAGGGGGTTGGGCTGTTTTATTTGGACAGGGGGTTGTGGGATGTATTTTGTTTGATTTTTAATTTTTATTTTTACGCACTAAACGTTCTAGTTTGAAATTAACCAGCACACGTATTTATGAAACCGTTCTCATGCTTAAACATGGATTTTGTGCTCAAACCAGATTTCCTTTATTTCACTGAAATCATATCATATTTCCTGTATCTAACTCAATTCATACAAATCAATTGAAAAGTAAAAAGTAAAAATTAATCAAAGTACTGGAAGTACTGAAGGAGGCGTTAGTCAGATGTAAAAGGTGAAATTTAAAATAAACCAATTATAGTTGCCAACACGATTATTGATATACATTCAAGAGCGTGTACTTCTTTTTAAACTTAGAACTAATCAAAGCTACCTGCTTATCAAACACTGGAACTTCAGATAATGTTCAACTGGAACTGTCGCCAGGATGGCTGACTTATACCCCCGCTCCCCATCCAGTCAGATTCCCACTCTTGCCCAAACACTTGTTAATAAATAAATTTATACAAGATAAATAAATTGATGATGAGCATTAAACCTATTATGCTTGCATGTATTATTTATAATAATTCAAATGTAAAAGCTGTAATTAATTCTACGGTGTGTCGTGAATCGGATTGGGGTACGGCAAAAAACACGTTAGTAATTCAATTTGAATCTCCCGTCTGGGAATCCCTCATGAATAAGTACAATAATGCCGCTAGCCAATCAAAACCGTTCTGTCGGTTACGTGATCAAAACAAGAAAAACATTCAGAGACATCACCACGATCAAAATTTCAACATCAAACCACCATTTCGCCAACCGATACACTGTGGAATGATGATATTCAGAGAATTATCTTGATAATGTAGATGGTTTATGGTAACACCTTTAAATT